GGATCACTACACCTTTGGTCTTGGTGTCTGGGGAAGGAGCATGGAAGCTCTGTGTATAGTATCTGTTAGTGAGGGGGAACATGCGGTGGATTGTGAAGTGGGTTTCCTGTATGAGGACTATGTCAGCTTGTTGTTTGTGTGCCCAGCGTAGAATGCCGTGCCTCTTGTTGGGGGAGTTCAGCCCTTTGGCGTTGATGGAGATGCAGCGTATTTGTGTAGGCATGGTGTCAGTAGAAGTGTGGCGGTCTCTGAGGGTTTGCAGTGATGGGTTATCCTGGATTGCGCGTCCGGATGGCCGCGGGCCGCGAGGGGTGGGGGGGAGGGCGGGAGGGGTGAGGTTGTTAGCCTGGGTTAAGGTAGTGGAAGGGAGATATGGGGTAGAGTGTGCTACTGGGCTTATCCGAGGGCCAGTAGGTTGTGGGGCGAAGCGTCCAACCGCTCCGTGGGTTTCCCCGTGAGTTCGGTTAGGTGTGTGTGTGTCGGGGGTTGGCGACCGTCCGGTTGGGGCCGTCCAGAGGCAGTTTTCAGTAGTCGCCCGCGGTATCATGTGTGCTGTGGTCAGTCATCGCTTTGGTGTCGTTGCGTCCGTGAGGTTGGCCCTCTACGTGTCGTGACGTGTGTTTGCAGGGTCGTACCTTGTGAGCCCGTGGGGCGTTGGTCTGGTCGTTGGTGGGTCTAATTTTGGTTCGGTGGTGAGGGCGTTCTGTCACCGTCCAGTCGTAAGGTGTTGGCGTGGTGCCGTCTGCTGTAAGTGGCGTCCGTCAGCACGTGAGGTGGGGTGGGGTGTGTCGGTTAGCTGAAAAGTAATGAGTAACAGTTTTACATTGTAACACAACAGTTTAACATCAACTTCAATTTAGTTATATACAGTTCCTCTGCCTTAGTGCCTAGAGGTTCCCGTGTTGCATGTCTCCCCCTGTGGTATCTCTCTGTGGGGATTCCTAGAGGATCCCTGGGCTGGAAGTCTGAAGGAATGGGGGGGTTGATTTGTAGCTACACTTTCCCGGCCCCTCGGTTACCTGGTGCCATATCTTTGCAATTCGTTTAGGTTAGTGTGAGTCCCTCCCTGTACTGGTCCGTTAATCTCCTTGGTGGTGCCCCGGTTTGCATTGTGCCCTAGGGGTTGTATGAGCTCAGGGTGTGCCTGTCTAAATCCTTCTATTTCCCAGGGCGTATCGTTTGCACTTAGCCTCTCTAGTGCTTTTGGTGTTGTCACCTATTTTCTATGTGGAGGGTGTGCCCGCGTCTCCTGGGTCCCAGTGTGTCTAGTGCAGGAGCAGAGTATGGTCCCCGGCACCGCTTTGTTGGGTCTCATGGGAAAGTGTTTGCGCTCAAGGGAGCCAACTGTGTTTTGAGGTGTACTCCTGAATGGTGTCTATCATTGGGCGCATGCCATGTCCATTGTTGGGGGGTTGGGGGGGGTGCACCAGCCATCCCTCCCCACCCAAGGTGTTCCTCCCTGTGGGTATCTGCACTGTTTTGGTGCTAAGTCGTGGTGTTGTGTGCTGTGGTGTCTAGGATACCTGTGCGGTGGGTGGGTGTGGGGCAACTATTCCATTTTGCTCTATGGGTAGCATTGGTCTGTACCTACATAGGCTGGTACCGAGAAGGGTACTAGTGCGTGCCGCCTGCATTCCTGAGTCTATAATTTCTATCTATCGAATGATACCTATCGGCTAAACAGCGAACAGGAAACATAACATATAAAGCAAGGAGAGAGTTTGTTAGTTATATCTTATCTGGAGCTTGGAGTTGTCAGCGGTTTAGGCTGTTTCAAGTCCAGTATTGGGGTGTGGAGTGGCCGGTGTTCTTCAGTGCCGGGGTCAGTTCGGGTTCTGTGTTCGGGTACGCTTTCAGCTATAGTGACCACATGAGTAGCGGATATGTTGCCTCGTGAGCTCCTGAGTGAGGGGCCGCAGCTCCCTCCTTTTGCGTAGGGTGCTCGGGGCCAGGTCCTGGTAGAAGGAGATTTGGTGACCTTCGATTTGTAATGGGGTGTTTCGTGCCGCTTGCATGAGTGCCTCCTTAATATGGAAGTAGTGCACTCTTATAATGACATCCCTGGGTTGGGTTGCATTGGGCATGGGTGCTCGAAGAGCCCTGTGCGCTCTATCCAGTAGGAGTTCCGCCGGTGAGGCCTCTGGGAGCAGGCCACAAAAGAGCTCTCGTAGCGTTGGCCCCAGTGCCTCCATTGTGATCGTTTCTGGTATTCCGTGTATCCTTATGTTATTTCGGCGGGACCGGTTATTCAGGTCCTCTTGTGCCTCCTCCAGTTGGCGGAGCTGTTCTTGTAGGGCGGTTATGGCATTTTCATTTGCTGTTGTGCGTGTAACTGTCCGGTCCAGTTGCTCCTCAATAGTAGAAGTTCTGTGGGTTAAGTCAATCAGGCCTTCTTTGATGGGTGTGAGATGCCTGTCAAATTCTGTGGTCATATTTGCCTTGATTTCACATAGCAGCTGGCGGAGGTCCTCTTTGGTGAGGGGGGTGGTTGTCGTTGCTCTGCTCATGTCGCTGGCTGCAGAGTCAGAATCATATTCGCGGCCTTCTTCTTCCTCCCGCGTGGTGCCGCCATCTTTGCGGCTCCGGAATATCGGAGCTACTTCTGCGCCCTGCTTCGATTTCCGCCCGCCCCCCATCGCTATTTAGTGGAGTATCTTGGGTGAGATACGAGGTGGTCGGGTGGGTGTAAGGGAGACAGTTGCGGGTGCTGATTATCGCCGGTTGTGTGCCTTCGTGGACGGAGCTCTCCTAGAAAGCCACCATTCGCGCCGGAAGTCAGGCGCCGCCCTGGGCAAACTTTTTTACATCCAAATCTTACCACAACATTCAGAAACTTACATGCAGCATTGTATTAACAGAATGTATTATAGTTGGTGTTGTGATTTGTTCCCTTGCTTGTGACTATTGAGTTTTGTTGTGTAGTGTTGTGTAGTACAATGGCCATGAGATTCAATGAAGCTCCTATAATCAAACATGTTCCCACTTTGCATGTTTTTCCAAATTTCCATTCTATTGGTCTTGTGTAATTAATTGAAATAACATTGCTAGGGGAATTAAAAAGTGTAAAAAAATAAAACATACTATGTCTGAAATGTAAAAAAAAAAAAATTAAAAAAAAAGAGGCAGAGCCAGCACAAATCAAACACAGCCCTGCACAATCAGCATCTCCTCTCCTCATAGAGATGAATTGAATCAATGCATTTCTATGAGGAAAGTTCAGTGTCTCCTATTCAGAGGGTGGAGAAACTGAATGGCAGTACTGCACAGTGTGCAACACTGCTGCAGGAAGTACCTCTAGTAGCAGTCTCGCCAGTGCAGTTATCACTAGGCTGTAATGTAAACACTGCATTTTCTCTGAAAACACAGTGTTTACTGCAAAAAAACCTGAAGGGAATGATTATTACTCACCAAAACAAATACAGTAAGCTGTAGTTGTTCTGGCGACTATAGTGTCCCTTTAAATCTAAACAGCAAAACTGAGGCAAAAATTGATGAGAGAGCGTCAGCTGATACTCTCAGCTTATCACTGACTTCCCATAGCGAGCAATGATTCAGAGAACTTTGTACCCAAGTGAATGTTTGCGCATTTAAACAGTTAAACTGTTCTGTCGCATTAACATGAATTGGTTTTGGTGCCAGGACTGGTCATTTAAGGTAAAAAGTAATTTAGGGTTGGGGTAGTATTTAAAGGGACACTGTAGGCACTTTAACATAGAATGTGACGACAGATAAGAACCATTCGGCCCATCTAGTCTGCCCAATTTTTTAAATACTTTCATTAGTTCCTGGCCTTATCTTAAGTCTAGGATAGTATAAATGCCCTGTGTAAGGACATTTATACTATCCTAGACTTAAGATAAGGCCAGGGACTAATGAACATATTTAAATAAATTTTGCAAGATTTTATTCACACATACTGATTTCTAAACAGATTTGTTATAGTTTAAAGGACCACTATAGTGCCAGGAAAACATACTCGTTTTCCTGGCACTACAGTGCCCTGAGGGTGCCCCCACCCTCAGGGACCCCCTCCCGCTGGGCTCTGGGGAGAGGAAGGGGTTAAAATCCTTCGGCTGAATGCGCATGCGCGGCAGGAGCTGCGCGCGCATTCAGCCAGTCTCAGAGGAAAGCATTCATAATGATTTTCACAGTGAGAAGCACGCAAACGCCTCTAGCGGCTGTCAATGAGACAGCCACTAGAGGCTTTAGAGGCTGGATTAACCCATTTATAAACATAGCAGTTTCTCTAAAACTGCTATGTTTATTAAAAAAAAGGGTTAACCCTAGCTGGACCAGGCACGCAGACCACTTCATTAAGCTGAAGTGGTCTGGGTGCCTAGAGTGGTCCTTTAAAGACTGGGAGTAATATTACTGTGGAGCTCTGTTATACTCTCAGACACACAACAACACAGAGCTCGTAAACAAAGAGAGATATTAGGACAGAAAAGATGGACAGGGGGAATTGGACTCATAATATGGACTGTCCTTCCTAAACAGGGACACTTGGGAGGTATGATAACAATTCCAAGCCTGAAATTAGAGATCTGGCATATACAACTGAGGTGTGGTACTCAATATATACTATAAGCGTTGCAGAAAATGTTGGCGCTATATAAATGGCAGATATAGTATTAATATTATGATAAAGGTTTTTTTTTTGCTATGACATGTACATTTCAATTTTTAAATTACTTTTTATTTATTATTACTATCACAGTTGGTGTCAATAAAACTCTATATCAAAGGAAATAGTGTCTGATTAATTTGGTCCCAAAAGCTGGACACCTGAATGGCATATTAATATTAACAACTGGTAAAGTAGGACATGTTTCTGTGGAGCTGATGAATGTACTGACACTTTAACAAAAGTTTACAGGATAGTATTGGATTTCTACTACAATTTGCCATCAACAAAAATGGCTGCCGAGCCACAGCGTCACGTGATTTCCAATCCTGCGACTCCACGTACAGGCGTGCTCTCACACTCTACTTCCGGGGAAAGCGCTTCCGGTTTTCGTAGTAAACACGTCTGGGAGACATGGTGTGAGGGATGCCGCCTGTTCACCGCTCCAGGAGCCGCAGCTCCAGCTCGTCTCCCCGTAAGAGGCGACATGGAAGCCCCGATTGGTCTCCGGATAAGAAAGGCCGGAGATCCAGGTCCCGGGAGCGGGCTGTTTCCAACGGGCACCGCCGCAGCCGCTCCAGGGACCGAGCCTCGTCTGGGAGACCCCATCACGGCAAGCAATGGGGGGACTACTACGAGAAGGGCAAGGAGGAGATCCTGAGACAGAGACAGGAAGCATTCATAGCCAGGTACGGGGATTGTACAGCGCTACGCAGTCTGATGGCGCCATATAAATAATACAATAATAATAATAGCTTATTGTGCAGTGTTTGATTACCCAGGAAGGCTCTCAGGTTCCATATATACTGTGTGCGTGTGTGTGTATATTAACCGGATATATCCATGGCAGCACTACAGGTGGGTATAGCTTTGCCCTCTTCCAAACTGGACAGGGGCACCTCCTAATTAAAACAATAAAAGAGAGACGCCTACTCCTACCCCTCATCCTTTTTTTCCTGTCCCACTTCGCTTTGGGCACAGGATGCTTTGCACCTCCTTTTTCGTTTGTGACTTACTTGGGTCATCCATACCCCGTATCCCTTGGGAAGTTCAGCTTCTCTTCCCGTGGAAGCCTCAGGATACGGCGCCTCACCAAGGGCAACCCCGTGGAAGAGTCTCCCCTTTAGCGACTGGGAATAATATGTACTTACCACTGCATTATTCTGCAGTAACCAGACAGGTAGCCGCTGTATGTGCCAGACCCACTACCGTGGTAATGTCCCTTCTATGAGTACACCTGCTAAATCTCGGATATTTGGGTTCTTGGCTTTCCCTTCATAGGTGATGATTCCCTACACGGGTACACGTACCTGGACGTATCATGTAAAGCCAGGTATTGGTCCCTTAGGGGATGAAGCAATGAAGGCTGGTCTGGGGATCCTGTTTACTATCTCAGGTAAGGTTGTAGTAGGCTTATTAAGGTTCTCCCTGTGTGATCTCTTTACTTGCCTTGTTACTGCGTAGTCTGGGGTTTGTGTATGCTTTCCGGTGGTGGAACGCAAGCTGGAACGTGCACGTAATGATGCGCAGAAGCTAGCGCGTCATTTCTGTTTACGGTTTTCCAGTCCTTGGTGGAACACAAATTTGAATGCAATAACGGCTCTATTTTGTGCGGTCCTAGTCTCACCAGGATCCTGGCAAAAATATTTGGCTTCTTGAGTTTGTTTCTGTTGTTGTGGTTCGGTATTGTCTTCATTTTCTTTTTGCTGCAGGTTAGTTGATTTCCTCTTGTTTCTCTTTTAATCCACTTAAGTTTGGATAGAGGTTTTTAGCTAGAAATATTTTTTTCTAGTTGCCCGATCTCATGGCGTCACAAGGCCACTCATCCACAAATAGGTCACATTCTCTAGGTTCTGAGTAATTCACTGGTATTTTATTTTCTAGTTATATTCATACAGTTGAGTATTTAAAGGCAGGGCGCATTCCTCCTATCCTAATATGGATTCTCAGTTCTGCTCATAGATCCGCCTACAAGAAAAAGGACAAGACTCCTTTATGTGACGCATGTGATCATAAGGCTATTCCAGGGAAGAGGCTCTGCATATCCTGTTTAAACGCAGCGGCAGGTCATAAAGAATCGGATCCTGATGTTTTAGCCTATATCCGTCAAGCTGTTACGGAGGGTCTACAACAAGCAGAAAAAATAACTAGGAAGAGACACAGATCTGTCAGTCCTGAATGGAACCCAGATTTGAATGCGGAAATGCCTCCAGTATATGGTATGGAGGAATGTTCATCTTTCGAGGAAGATACGCCTTCTGATCCAGCTTTCATGCATAGTAAGAAAATCAAAGCTCTTATTAAGGCAGTTCAGAACATCCTTGATCCTCTAGCAAACATTTTGAAGGCATGAGGAAAAAGAACCCGACTTTTCCATTTCACGGAACTATTGACCTGATTAATGAGGAATGGAGGAAGACTGAGGGAAAAAAAGTCTCCTTGCAAGGCCGGCTTTCTAAACTCTATCCATTTAAGCCTAGTGATTGTGCTTCTTGGGACTCAGCTCCCAAAGTTGATGCAGCCATTATTTGTCTGGTCAAGAAGACCACCTTACCAATTGACGATGCAGGATCACTTAGAGATCCAATGGATTCCAACTTGTGTAAAGCCTATGTTTCCTCTGGTTCTGGGCTTTGTCCTGCTGTGGCCTTGACATCTGTTTCTTAAAGCAATGGTTGGAAGACCTCAAGGAGAATATTTCCCTTGGGGTCAGCAGATCTAGAATTTTGGATTGGCCATTGAATTTACTTCTGACGCTTCTATTGATTTAATCAGATCCCTGTCTAGAAGCATGGTCTTGTCGGTAGCCTCAAGATGAGCATTGTGGCTCAGAAATTGGTTTGCGGATTCCCCTTCTAAGAATAGGTTGTGTGCCCTTCCCTATCAAGGGGATATGCTTTTTGGAAAACATTTGGATGAATAAATCAAAAGGGCAGTGGAAGGGCGGAAAGCTTTTCTTCCTCAAGAAAGAAGGCAAAAAAAGATAATTTTCACAAGACAGACGCTCCTTTCGTGATAAGGATTATAGACGCTACAGACCAGGGACGGAATTTTCCAGATTCCAATCATGGAAGGGTGGTTTCTCCTTCTCCAGAAATTCTCGTGGTAGTACAAGGCAGTCTAAACAATTCTGATGGGGCTTCAGTCCGGGGGAGTGGGAGCAAGACTTCTGGACTTCTTCGAGATCTGGGCTCGCAATATTCCAGACAAATGGGTCTTAAAAATTGTAAGTACATGATATTTTCTGGACTTCTCCTCCATTCCTTTCCCTCAATTCTTGCAAACCAGAGTGCCTCAAGATCCAGTAAAGGCAAAAGCACTCCATTCATTTGTGACCCCTCTCCTAGCAGACGGAGTCATTTGTCAAATTCCTTCAGGAAAAAAAAGATTGGGGTATTACTCGAGGCTTTTTCTAACTTCGAAAGCATCTGGAGAATGGAGGCCAATTTTAGACCTTCACAATCTCAACGAAGGATGTTTGTCAAAAAAAATCAAAACGGAATCTGTCAGTTCCATCATCACAGTGGTCTCTCCAGGGGATTGGATGATCTTTGGGATGCCTACTTTCATGTACCGATCGCCATTCCTCACCAGAAATTCCTCAGATTTACAGTAAGTCAGCAGCATTACCAATTCTGGGTTCTTCCATTCGGCCTAAGCACTGCTCCCAGAACCTTCTCAAAGATTCTAATTTCCATGATCATATTCATTTTGATGGCATCACTAGTCTGTTCCAGCAAGAGAAGTCATGAGCCTCTTAGGGAGTCTTTCATCGACAATAAGGCTTACGAGATGGGCACAGTGGCACATGAGAATTTCTCAAATAGTTCTTATACCAATATTCGAACAAGGACTTGAATCAGCCTATTCTTATTTCAGACAAAGTCAAGAAAGCGCTGTTATGGTGGCTGACCAATCAAAACATTTGGGATCAATCCCTTGGATGATGTTAACCACAGATGCCTGTCAGCCAGGTTGGGGGGGGGCACACTTGGGTTCCCAACACATCGAGGGTTTATGGAAAAGCAGATTAAACACCAATCTTCGAACATCCTGGAATTGCGAGCTGTATTCCAAGCTCTTTTCCGGTTTCCCTCCATGAGACATCAATGGTTAAAGGTGAGAATAGACAATACCTCAGCAGTAGCCTATCTCAACCACCAAGGAGGGACGAAAAACAGGGATCTAATGGCAATTATTCTCCCTCTTATGACTTGGGCAGAAACAAATCTGAAGGCCATCAGCCGACCCTTTGGCGGAAGACAGTGATGCCTTATGCTGTGAGTAGAAGTTCCATCTGGGGTATGCTTTTCCCCCAATACCCCTCATTTTTCTTCTGTTGGAAAGAATCCAACAAGAACCTGTGACCATTCTAGCAATAATTCCATATTGGCCCAGACAAGCATGGTTTCCTCTGCTTCAGAAATTATCCCAGGATCTCTCTCTAGATCTGTCATTTCAACACCAGTTACTACTCCACGGTCCAGTCTTTCATCCTGCACCCCAGACTTTTTAGTTGATGGCATGGAAGTTGAGAAGCAAATACTCTTAAAGAAAGGCCTTTCAGTATCGGTTGTTGATACTTTGCTTTAAAAAAGAGATCAACATCCTTGGCATATTACCGTATTTGGAGTATTTTCTGCGACTTGTGTCATATTCATAAAATTTCTCCTCAGCTTCCAGGTATAAGCAAGTTCCTTCAGGAAAGATTTGATAAAGGCCTTAGTCTTAGCACTGACAGTTTTTTTTTCCCCACAGCTGTCGCTAGCAGTGGCTGGGGGAAATGACAAAACATGATGGCAGTAGCTCAATCTCATGTCAAGTGGAGGACAAATACATACAAAAGAGTAGTCCCTACTTTGTCTTGTGTATTTTAGGAGAAAGAGATATAAAGCCGAGAAAAGAACAACGGAGTAGGAGTGCGGAAGAAAATAGTAATAGATTGAAGAAAGAAAGTTTTGGGTGACAGTTGCTTTAATCTTGTTGAACAATTTACTTGCATATCCAGGAAAAATAATCCTGGAAACAATTCTTTTTGCTAGTACTTGTTTTTTGTAGAAAATAGAAACGTGGCTATATACAGACCAAATAGTAACGAACAGATAAAATGATAAAATACTTTATGCAGCTGTAAGGGGGATGGAAGAGGCGCAACAAAAAATATGCAAAAAGGTTATGGAAACACTAACGCATTTTGTGTCTTTAAACCGACACTTCCTCAACACAAGTGAACTGAACCTTGTAATATACAAATGGACATCTTATAATGACATTTTCTGTAATACATTTCACAGTTCAAATCCTACTCAAATATCTAAATGTGAAACTCCAAAGGACCATATACCCTAATTGTGTTGTAAGAAGACAGATGAATGTAATTTAAATATATAGAATATTCTAGAATATCTTAGCATTAGTATCTACACCATCAGTCCTATAACTGTTCCATGTCAACTCTGTGAACCATTAATTCCTAGTGTATGCCTCTTCCCAAATTGCATGTATTTGTCCCTCTAATTTTTTTCTGTTTTAGAGCCTCAGTCTTTTTCACACAAGCAAGTAACATCACACACTCTAATTGACACGTACATTTCTCACTTTTGGATATCCTATTACATGTAAGGTTTTGTTTTTTAAGCAGACTTCTCTTGCTTGAAATCTGGTTTTATGTACATTGTATATTTTGGCATACTGCTTTCACCTCTGTTGCATATTAATTTTAGTCAGTAATTTGACAACATAGACAATCTTGGGAGAAAAGATCGATTGTTTTTTATTTATACATTTATTTTTGTGTTTTTTTTGTTTCTTTAAATAACGCTCTTTTATTCTAATTCAGACGACTGAATGAAAGGGAACGGATTGGAGAGCTTGGAGCTCCTGAAATCTGGGGTCTGTCTCCAAAAGTTCCTGAACCTGAGTAAGCCTCTCTTCTCAATTATGTATAGTATCATATCATCATTATGGTCAAAATATGAAAGTTTACAGCTTTTTTTCTTATTGCTTTATCAGCTCAGATGAACACACTCCTGTGGAAGAGGAGGAAAAGTCAAAAAAGAGTAGCAGTTCAGAGTCTTCATCAGCAGGTAATATTGATTATTATGTGGATTTTTCGGTAAACAAACTCTTGACATGCCACAACCTTTCTGTCATTGAAAAATAACCTGTGCATGGAAATGAAGGTAAATATTCATGTAGTCTGTACATCATGCTTAAATTGTCTTGTATTGGTCAGTCCTACTTCTTTTGAGTATACATTTGCACCACTATTTAATGTGTAGTAAACAATGAGGAATTCTTTGTTTTACAGAAGAAAAGAAGAAAAAAAAGAAGAAAAAGAAAAAGTCGAGTAAAAAGAAACACAGAAAGCACTCAGAAGACAGTGATAGCAACTCTGATTCAGAAAGCAGTGGTAAATACTTACTACTTACACTGTAAACATTGACATTACATTTCTGTTCCCAGACAAAAGATTAACAAGCAACTCTCACCATATTTTGGCATCTATTCTCAGTTGGTTTGATGCGGTAAACAATGTTGAAGTATTTTCTATGGTGTATTGTCCAGCAATATTAGATCTACATTAGATCCCTCCTCCCCCCAAGAAATCATGCAAATAGAATTACAAGTAGGTTTTCTTTGGAGATATATCTACTAAATGTATTTTTTTTTATTTTTTTTAATGTAATATTTATTTTAATTTGCGGTAAGTGCTAAGTTAATAGACACAGTTATTGTTTTGTCAGTGTCCAAAGCACCAACAGTTTGTTTTTTAAATGAGTGTGGACCACATTTAAATTTCAGGATTCAATATCCACTGTAATCTCTATAAAAGACTAAAGAGGATCAAATCATATATATATATATATATATTTTGTCAATCTGTTTTTATTAAATGATATACAGAGATTATTCAGCCATGTTTGCAAAAGTAGTATTACATAGCAGCCAGTGGTATGTATAAGATTATACAGCCATTCTTGAGAGCATCGCGTAGATAAAGTCGCCTTAATGGCTCAACCTGTATTAAAAATTATAGTAGAAATAGTCTGAGAGGTAATCTTAAAGGTATCGGTGTTAAGGACATTTCCCAACCCATCAATATAATCTGATATCACTTATTGTGTCTTCAAAGTATGGAGAGCGTGGAAGGCAGCTAGTACTTTCTTAAAATAAAGGTATTTAAGAGGAGTTGCAGAAGACACTAAATCTGCTGTTAAACTGTCAGAAAACGACGAGGGCATACTTTCTGGTAAAAAATAAACCAATATATTGTGCGAATACTAATTGCAAATAGCAGACCCTTCATTAAGAATGAAGGCAGAAACTTTGAGGAAGCTTGAGCAGTCAGCTAATGCTTTGCCAAAATACTTGGACCCGAGGCTCACATGGGAGACAGAAGAAGAACCACCTGGCAAAAGCACTACGTCAGACAGTTCCAGATTATCCTGCAATGTAGAACTGTACCCCAGCAACAGCTGCTACAGAGGGCTAGTAAGCATGCTGCTGTCCAAGCAATGCCAAAGTCGTCCTCTCCTCCTATGGTTGGTGTGAGAGCATCTGGGGTACACAGGGTATCCTGTTATGAAGGCCATCGTGTGGAATAGAATTGGAGCCATGGCTTCCTCCCAGCAACCAGTCGCGTATGCACATTCAGCCCAGGAGGAGGAGAATCCCCCACCCGGCGCTGGAGAAAGAGGTAAGTTTAACCCCTTCCACCCCCTAGAGCCGGCCAGGAGGGGGACCCTGAGGGTGAGGGCACTATAGTGCCAGGAAAACAAGTATGTTTTCTTGGCACTATTGTGTTCCTTTAACTGCCATTAAAGAGGGTGAGAAATGCATTCCATTCACATGTACCCCGGAGAATGCATGGAGACAGCAGTGTCTTTAAAGATGCAAATCAAGACAGATCATACGTTTCATGGAAAGTTTTAGGCAATTTATTGTAGCTTCTTATTTTTTGTTCGAGGCATTTTGTTATTACACTTATTAAAGCAATGGTTGTGATTCTTTGTTTTCCGTTGGCATTTTATAAATATTTCTGTCATATAATCTACTTAACGAGAAGATTGCTCTAAACCCCTTTTTGTTTTTTATAGAAGAAGACAAAAAGAAATCAAAGAAAAAAAAGAGAAAGCAAAAAAAGTAAGATTTATTATTATTTGAGCTTTATATATAAAAGGGTCCCTGGAACTTCTGTTTTCAAATTAGGGAATATGTACAGCTACAGAGTTATATAAAGTTAAAAGTGCATTCAGAAATTAAATTCCAGTGAGTAGGAATCATCCCAGGTGGCTTTGAGATTCTAACGTGCTTGGGCCAATTCATACAACTTACAAGATCTAGCGCACTCACTTATTCACTAAACAGCCATTTAAAAGCTCACAGAATGTAATAATTTGTAAAAACATATAATCTAGGCAAACATAATGGGGCTTAGTTACAGTATATGAACATACACTGCATAAGCCTGCTACAGTACCAATGTACGTTATTATTGGCAGGTCCTGTCCTACCACTTTGGGTACACACTAATACACAGACACTGATAAAATGCATATAGACATATAGTCACAGGGTATATCTGGCAGTGTGTTTGTGGCATTATATGTGTCAAACAGTAAGTATCAGCTATGTATGTGAGTGGGGAAATTGCTTGGATTGGATTGCATTTATGGAAGGCTGCTTTTGTTCTTGATTTGTGTTTATGATGAGGTTGTGTTGTGCAATTTTTTTGAAGTTGTGGCGGAATGTAACAGGGTAAAGGGGTGAGTGGGACTGACCGGATGAGTGAAGAGAGTGAATGAAGGCTGGGCGATTGTGAGGGCAGCCTGTGGTTCTGTGTCCAACCTCCACACACTTTTTCAATTTCTTTTTTCCTGTCCTAACTGCCATTTGTGTATGGGGCTGTTCTATGATGACTGCTTCTCATTGCTACTGGAATAACAGACTATCATTCACGAAAGAGTGTCTTTATATCATTCTCTTAAGACAGATGGATCTCAAGTGTCTCATTTTGGCAGCTTTTATGTGAAACTTGGAGGCAGATGGAATGTATATTAAGAAGTACATTCCATTTTAACCCAGTACTAAATACATTATTTAAAATCTCAACTGGCCCCCAGCCTTTTATATACTAATAAACCAAAGAAACATTTTTTGGAATCATCAAAAACTCCAGGTTTCCATAAATGTGGAAAGTGTTCCACATGTATAAACTTAGACAAAAAGATTGTCGATTTCAAAGGCACATACACCCAAAAAACATATCAAATTAAAAATTTTTTACATTGTACCACTACATATGCCATATATCTGCTCCAATGTGGATGTGGGGCACAATATGTAGGTAGGACTACCCGTCAACTACATATTAGGTTTAGAGAACATTTCCTTAATATAAGAAACAAAAAAATGGATCACAATGTACCTAGACACTGTAACACATGTAGTTCTTTTGAATGGTCCACCTTTCGTGCCTTTGGAATCGATAGGATAGATGTACACTGGAGGGGAGGTAACAGAATGCAAGAGCTAATTAAAAAAGAAGCAGAATGGATATACAATTTAAGAACACTTAAAACCGGTTTAAACCAAGATATTGATTTAACTGGTCTAATTTAATGATATACAAATTAATCCAATAATTATCCTTCTTCCAAAATTTCTTTTTCTCTTTTCTATATCCTGGTCTTATTGATAGTAGTTTGAAATTTGTCTATATTTACTTATATAAGTTCCACATCTGGATATATTGTATTATATGTACTATATGGATATTAATGCTTATCTCTATCTTATAGATGGATGTTGAACTCATTACACTTTATATTTGCATATTATCTAATTGTATTTATTTAATTATTGTATTTGAGAGTGCTATATTATGCGAAAAAAAAAAAAAAAAAATTATATATATTTTGTAGACTATATATATATATATACTATCTTTGATATATGTTCAGTTATTATTAATATTTGTACATCTGTTCCCATTGTACATTGGATTGGGCTACAATGATATTATACATTTGTTTTTTCAAATTTGTACCCTTTTGGGGTTTCATGTATATAACAATCATGCATTCTGATATTACAGAATATACATTGTACTATTACTCCTTTTTTATAATGTCTTACATGTCATGTTTTAAATATGACATGTTTTAATCTGGTCCATATTATATAACATCCATTTAGTCCTTTATAGTTATTCTTTTTTATTTTATGCAGATTTTTAATACTTTATTATTTTCATGGCATACAGACTTCTTTTTCTGTCCCATATTTGTATAATGGGAACTGATTGTTGCCCCAGAGGGGAAGCCTTTTCTGCTGCACTTCTATTAGTGCTAGCAGAAGAGGGCTCCCCTCGATCGGATTAGATCCGAAACCGGAAGTGATGTCATGCGTTCCAAGGTGGAACGCAAGAAGCCCACTTGATTGGATAAGACCGGAAACCGGAAGTGACGCTATGCGTTCCAAGGTGGAACGCAGGAAGTCTAAGGGCCGAAAACCGGAAGTAACATGTGAATTTCCCCGCGAATTTGAAAATTGGCATGATATATAAACCATGAAGATTACAACACATCTATATCCCTGAGGAAGTCACCATAGTGACGAAACGCGTTGGATACTACTTTTGGACTTTTTATGCTAATATACAGCTGTTATTATAGTCCATTTGTTATTTTTATTTATTTTATTTTATATTTTTTTAATTTTGTGTACCTCCATTTTGGGATCTCTCTCTACTTTCACCTGGAGACCCGGCCATTACTTCATTATGGAGATATGCTGTCTTACTTCTGATTTCTTGTAAGTGCAATATTTGGAATAAATTTTGTTATTTTTATACAATCTGCACTATCTATATTTTTTCTTTTGTTCCTGAGCTGAAGGAAAAAGGGATATTTTATTCCTGAGCTGAAGAAAAAGTGATATTGTCAGTCCTCGCCATATATATTCGGTCTCCAATGTGGAAAGTACCCCTGACAGGATGACAGGATGACAGGATGACAGGCGTGATTACTACTCCCTTCTTGTAAGTTTTCTACCACGTGCAAATCCAATTTTGCCTAACTTACTTCACTATATTTTGTATTTTGCTATTTTATAGATTCCACGTTCATTTTCAGCCATATTCAGGTTGTATTGTTCTCAACCACCCTCTATTTGTATATATCACCTTTGGGTTTTTATATATACGTCCTTGTGTTTATTCTTGACTGTGTATGTGTGTCTGTCAGTGAGTGAGCTTGTGTGTCTTGTCAGTGAGTGTATATGTGTCTCTGTCAGTAAATGCGTGTGTCAGTTAGTGTGTATGTGTGTCTGTTGGTGAATGTGTGTGTGTGTGTGTGTCTGTCAGTGAGTGTGTGTAACTGTGAGTGAGTGAGTGAGTGAGTGTGTATGTCTGTCAGTGTGTATGTTTCAGTGAAAGTGTGTGTTGGTTAGACATTGTGTATCAGTCAGTGAGTGTATGTCAGTGTATGTATCAGTGAAGACGTGTATCTGTCAGGCAAAGAGAGTGTTGGTTTTTAATAGGAAGGGAAATTTAGAAGGTGGGGGGGAAGGTGCCTGAGTTTTGTCATGCCTAGGGCAGCACAAAACCAGAGTACACCACTGAGTACACAGGAACATGTAAGACTTTAAAAGTAAAGCCAAAGTCGTGAAAACAGCAGTTCAAGGAAAAAGGCTATGCCAATAGATGCCCGAAGAAGGTATATAGGAGAGTTTTAGAGGTTGATAGATGTGAGTTGTTAGGCAGTCGTTCTCCCAGAGAGTCCAGTAAGACTCCAGTAAGAATAATGGCACATCATGATCAGAAATGCTTTACTTTACCTTCAGATGCGTAGTCTGCAAATTTCTAAAGCAGGACTCCAAGCAAGTAACAGATCGTCAGGGACACCAGACATACAAGATTACCACTGTTTTTTAACTGCAATTCAGATGGGCTTTTATATCTCGTCACATGTGAGTCTAATCTCAAATGTGGGAAATATTTCATCCCTTAAAACAAAGAATCAAGGAACATGTGAAATCCACTAAGATCATCTCTAGACCCCTTAGTCGAAAGGCATACCAAGGACTCAAAAGGACTATGCTTTTGTGAGCTGGAATTGGTCAAACGAGATCAGAGACAGACTGAGATTCCTGAGAAAATGAGAGTGCCTATGGATCTCTGAATTTAAGACTTCACCCTAGAGATTTAAATGAAGGCTTTTCATTTCCCCTATTCACCTTCCTTGATTGGTATTATACAGCAAAAAATAAATAAATAAACTTAGGATGGGCTTTATTTAGACAAATCTTTAAAATGTTGAACTTTTGATAAAATTACACACAGCTTATCCACTATATGGATTGGATTGATTAGCAATTTGCCATATGAGTCATTTTGAATCGATTATATCCAATACACCCCTTAATAAAGGTCAAGATTTATTATTCCGAAAAAGAAAAACACAAAAAATCCTGACCATTTAAGAAATATATATATGTAGAAGTTATGGATATTTTATAACATATGTATTTAAAAAATTCTAGTAAGACTAGAGTCTTTGGAGGTGTGGAGTGTTAAATAAGCTACTATTAAGCATTGTGTACATCTGTAATCATACCTTATATTCTTTAAAAGTCAAGGAGAGTGGGCAGTGCTGCACTAACTATATTAGAGTCTTTTACGGTTGACCTATTTTTAACATTTAGCCTTAACAGGTTAATTTGTCTTGCCTATTCAGACTAAATGTCTCTATTCGATACTTTAGGGTTCTTACAGAGAGAATACTGTATTCGAGTATGTTAGGGCGTTACTTGTTGTGTCTGGCCAAGAGACGAGGGTGGACACGACTCTGACCATGACTGATGTGTAGGCAGTGCTAGCCCAGATGATATAAAAATGCAACTGTATCAGGATGCCAGTCCAACTCATGACTAAAGGCACCAGCGAGCACCGAAACGTGAGTCAAGCCATAGAATGTTTGTTTTTAACATTAGTTGATGTGCCTGTAGGAGGTAGAACGTATAGTGGATAAGGGTGGTGGAATCTAATGCAGCAAATTCTGGGGACTGCCTCAAAGCAGCGAGGGGAAAGCAGGCTTGTCTCGGAAGATTTAAATTTAGGAGTTTACCTTTTAAGCATTCTTTTCCTATATTGTAATACCCTGCAAATGTAAGCCCAAAAACATTATCC